ATATGCAAGATCAGAAAAGAACAATAATCATCATTCCTAAGAGGTCATTTAATACGGGCTATATTAGAACTGAGAAGCAACAATGACAACAGAAAATTATAATATTAGCTATGATTTTATTGTTTAGCTATAAAATTTATTTGTCGTTAATTTCTATTTTTTAGTAGTGATTGCACAATCACGATCGTGATCCCCTTGTATAACTTTCTTATTCCATTAGATCTAACTTATCAGGTTCAAATTTTTTATTTCCTCAAATCGAATTTATCAAATGCTCTTTAAAATCAGTATGTTTGAATCTAAATATACATTTGAATAATATGACATTATTAAAATTTTAAAAATAAATTATTAAAATGACTTATTTTATCACTATATGATCATTTATAATTTTAAAAATTACAATAATATATCTTCTAAGATCATAATTTACCTAATATTATTTTAACCTTTTTGTTTACAACAAAATTTTAATTACAAACATGATTATTTATTAAAAAATAATATTTTCCTCTTCGATTTATTAACTAGTGTTGTTTCTGTTAGTGAGTTGATTTTTTGGACTCATATTTTCCTTTTATTTTATTTACTTCAGAACTCCAATCAAATTGTATTTTGATATGTTTCTTTAGCAAATATCCCATTTTCTTTTCTCTCTTATTAAAATAGCAGGAATGAATACCATCGTTACACAGGAAAAATTGCATTCATATTTTAATCGATTTTGACGCAATGTTTACTCATCTTTTCATCATTTTCTTTTTTTCATCCTTTTCAATGTGCACTAATAACTCCTCTTTTCAATATTTTCTTTTTTCATCCTTTTCGGTGTGCACTGATTACTGCTCTTTTTATCATCTTTTTTCATCATATTTTTCAAAATCATCCTTATCAACAATAGGTTTGTATCTATTTCTTGAATAACAAATTCCTACAAAAAAAAAATTCTAAAGATTATCTGTTATAACACAAAATTGTTCTTGCTTCTTGTAAAACTCCATTATGGCTACACCTCGAAAGAGTCCTAGTCTAATGAAAAACAATACCAATTTCAACAGTCTCGTTCTATGTACAACACCAAATTTTGAGTTGATTGCTTCCACCTCTTCTCCAAATGTAGTGAAGTTCGTATAATTGAGGTGATTGAAACAAACAATTAATGGGTAAAGCGAAAGAAGATACTTTTGTTAAAACCAATTATGGAGGAATTAAAAAAGAGTAAAGAGAAATCTTTACGAATGTTCAAGGTCCTCATGATAGCAATCTTGAAGACCATATACCAATTGCAAAAAGAATCCGTCTCAACAAGGTGGTCAAGTCAAAATTGGAAAAAATTACTAAGTTACATTTTACGGTGTATGGTTGATGATTATACATGAAATTAATTGTACAGTTGGCTTTTACCCCTATTAACTTGAATCTGTTTGTCCAGTTTGAATTTGCTTTCTTATGAGCTTATTGTTATCAAAATGAGTGAACAAGTGTTGTTTTCTTGTAGACGTTTGTTTTTAAATTTGAGGCAGGAGCTATGGTAAGGGGAAGTGTTGTGAGGGTTCTGAGAAACTGTAAATGAATTTTCTGGGATATATTGATTGATATGTTGTTATTGGTTTGTGTTTATTTAGGAGTTAGGTGTTTTTGCTAGATGATGTTGATGATTGATTAATTTAGATGGTTATGGTTATAGTTAGATGTAAGTTAGTGAACCATTAAGTGAGAAAGTTGACTGGACATCACGGTCATAAAAAAATTATGTTTGAAGGAAATTTGGGTTCAATTGGAGAGTGAGAGCAGGGTGGGGTGAGTATTGCTTTTTGAATGGTGGAATGCACTAAAGAGTTGCTTTTGCCTATGTAGTTAGTTATGTTTTCTTTGGCCTATCTAGTTGGACGGCCTATTTTACTAAGACCTGTTCGTTTTGATCCTCTCAAGGAATCTACCAATTTATGCGATTATGGTTTCATTTTACTCCATGAATAATATCTTCGATTGATATTGATATTGTTTGTACGGTGCGGTATGTTGTCATGTTGATGTATGGATGAGGATAAAGGAAGGTGTTAAATACTGTTTTAGCGCAAGAGCATTTTGTTACTGTTGCTTGCGAAGTAATAAGTCTTAATTAACTAATAGATAACTTATGTAATAAGATTTTAGAGTTTGATGTAAAGACTAATGGAAAATTGAGAGATATTGTCCTTACATCTGAATCTGTAGGTTTTACTGGGGTTCTATCTTTATGTAGGTAACGGTGAATCTAGTGATAATTGGAACCTAGCTAGTGGATCTGTAAAATTAAATTATTGACATTATGATCTGAAGCAAGGGTTTAATTATATGGTTATTTTTGAAGAACATCTGTGGAGTTTCAAGGATTTTGTAGTTGAATGGTTTTGTAGTCGTATTTGTCCTTAAGTAGTATTTTATATATGAAGTAATACAATGGACTTTTGTTGAGTGTTTGTTTGTTCCTAGTTGCACTATTGAGTGAAAAACTGCTATAATATATTTTATCTATTTGTAGAAATATGGTGTAAATCATGGAAAACAAAAGTTGTTAAACGTGGTGGTAATAGGAGAAGGACGAATATGAAAAGGACAAAGTTATCCAAGGTATGCTATCTTTTATTTTTCTATTTGAAAAAAATAAGTTTTATTTTGTACTTCTTAATGTTCATTTTGTATTGTTATTTTTTTAATTTTGCAAAGTATTTACTTGTTTACTAGTATAGAATTGTATATATTAGTTATTTTTATTTGTTCAAATTATATACGGAATTTGATACTATGTTGGTATATAAAAGGACATAAATTTTGATTTTGGATGATTTTTGTATTTATTTATGTATTCTGAGTGATATTCACATTTAACAGTTTCATAGCTTTATTTGTAGTTCTTTGACTAAAATGAATTGTTTATTATTTACATTTTTTTTAAAAAAATTATAGCTAAAGAAGAAACAATCACGTTTGTGTTCATACGTCAATGTTGATGTGTTCAACGAGATAACTGAACTTCTTTTCAAAGTCAACATGCTTCACTTGTTTAAGGAATCCCCTTTTGGATATCCACTTGATTTGCCTTCGATGAAGGTTCAATCCGAACTCATTAGAAGATTGATGTATGTTGAGACAAAAAATAATCGCAACAATATGTTCATCATCAATTTGAATGGTAAAGATCTACATTTTGACATAAAGAAATTTAGCGTTGTAAATGTTTTCAAATGTGGGGGACATACAAATTTTATTTTTGACCCTGATAGTCCATCGAAGCTTATGAGTTTGTACTTTTCTAATTCATTTGGTAAAGTTCTTAAGGCTGATCTAATTAGAGTTAAAAAAGAAGAAGAAGGGTTGATTAATGATGAAGATATTTTTAACATGACCATTCTTTACTTTACTAGATGAGTGTCGTCCGTGCTAAATACGGGCCCAACGTTTAAAATTTTATAATAATTTTACTTCTGTTTGAATAACCTATGAAATATATTTGAGAATCAACGTAGTAAAAAATATTTTTTTAAATAACTGTAATTTCAAAATACACAATGTCTGTTATTTTAGTAATGAATCATATTTCACCACTTGTCAATATTGCTTGGCTTTCATGGCACAACTAGCTTTTTTTGTTTGTCGTTGGGCACTCAAGTTTGGGAAAGGCTTATTTATGCACCAACCATTATGATTTATGCTAATGTTACAATTTATACAACTAATGTTTCCTAAGGGTTATATAATAGGGGTCTCAAAACAGGTATCAAAAAGATGTGTTGAGAACTAGAACAAAGTTGAGTCATTTTTTGCCCTATTTGTGTCTATTACTTGGCTCTTCCTCCCACATTCGACGTCTTGCTTGCTAGTGGTCACCACTATGTTCGTCCCCCATAATGGTAAGGAACTGAATACACCAATATAACTATGTAAGAGTTGTAAGTGGAAATAACAAGGTCGAATCTTGTACACAACTTCAGACAACTTCTTAACGAGTGCAATAATCGAACAAATTTTATGAAAAACAAGGTAAAATGCAACTGTAAACAGGGTTATTCAATTCAATATAATGCTTCAGATGACGCCTTGCAAGTACATATTTCGAACATTGTAACTTCCAACCTATGTTGCGCGAACTCTTCAAAAATGACAGGTGGGTGTAGAATCTGACACATGTGGGACATTCAAAGTGAAGGGCCTACACAACATAACTTTCAAACACCATAATATTGTTTCTAACATGGTCAATGAGTATTCTTATAACCGACCTTATATGTTTGAGACTTGGGCATGATTGTTTTTTATCGTTATTATTGTATTTCAAGATTGTTGATTGTTGCCTTTTAGGTCCTTTCCTATTTGATATTTTGGTAAAACTATGAACTTTAGAGGAAAACTTGTATTTTAAGCCTATTTGAATTGCAACTGTCTTGATTAATTTTGCCAAGAGTGTAATTTCTATAGATTGAATGGATAACAGAAAGTAGAGGAAAACTTGTATTTTAAGCCTATTTGAATTGCAACTGTCTTGATTAATTTTGCCAAGAGTATAATTTCTATAGATTGAATGGATAACAGAAAGTGATGGTCTTTTATGTGAATAGCATTAAAAAGACATTGATGTACATACAAAAAATTTAACGTGTAACAGTGAAGAACTTTGTGCGCTCATTTATCAAAAGTTGTCTGACTGTTGAGCAGATTATTATATCATTGCAAATTTTCCTATAAGAAAGATTAGTCTTAATTCACTAAGTGGCATAGACATACTATGATGTGATAATCTTCATGTCACAACTGTTATTTTTTTCATGTCCCCATGTTCTCCTCCAGGCATGAGGCTAGCTTTTGTTAGCACTAAGCAAAAGAATGTTATCATTTCTAATACATTTTAAAGTCACCAGTCAAAGAAGAAAACAAACAACAAATAGTTCTTTAAGACTATGGACAAACATACAACTCTATCCTATTTCACAATTGTTACCAACTATAAAGAAGCATCCATCTCAATTAAGGCTGCAACATAAAATAAAATAAAACATGTATTACACACTAACACAAATAAAAATAAGCTTGACTGTTCAGTTACAAACACTACTATTGTATAAACTGCAAATGGTTGATTCCTAACATCTGTCTATTGTGTAAACTACACATGAGAGGTAAACGGTTAGAATAAAAACTTCTTAGATAAAAACATAATGCAGATAACATAAAGCAATGCAGAAATCTCATAATGTACCATGGACATCAAGCATCACCCCTAAAAATCACTGCCTATATGAACTTCACAAAGTACAACAATGTACAAGCCAATAAAGGTTACAGATTGAGATAGATTCACTAAAATAGTCCACTTTCAATGAATCATCTCCACCACCTTAATAATGGTGAATGTGTACACAAGATTCATATAACAGAAGCTGGAAAGATAGAGGTCTGAATCTGACCATCAGAATGTTTTCCGTGTCATAATTTGGCCAACTCAGTATTCACTGAAAATGTAAAATTTGTCAGGCTTGACGTATTGATGGCAGTGAAAAGACTGATACCCAAAGAAGATATTGATAAATTCTACGATGGATAGTGCTACATTTTATTTCTACACATACCATTCTCATGAACGAAAAGAAGATTATTACTTATGTTGGTGGATTGAAAAAGATAGCATCGAGGTTTAAATATCCTTGCATATAAGGGTCTACTACGTTTTTATTGAATTTTCTTAGTTGAATCATTTTTGTGGATTCAGGAGAATCAAGAAATGGCTACACAATTGGCTAGCACAATGTGCAATTCACTTAAAGGGAGACCTATGCTGTTATTACTTTTTTCGCTTATTGTTTTTTCAGTCAAAAACTTTACGTTATCCAGGGTTGAGTATATCAAGGGAAAGAACCAGCACAATTTGTTGCAATATTTCAGCCCAGTTGGTTCTTAAGGTATCTCTCCATATATCATGATATAGGCTATTGATGTCGTTTGGACGTATAGAATAACCATGACAAGTCTCTTTCCTTTGATCAGGGTGGATTAAGCTCTGACTATAAAAATCATATTGAAGAAAATGTCTTGAATGATGAAACCTATGCTTTTGATATTGTTGGCCTTTTCAGGATATCTAGAATTTCTAGTCATAACAACAAAGTAGTTCAAGTCGATATTTCTACCTTTTATGAAAATTTAATCAAGACTATGTCTTTAAGGGCATCATACCATGCTTTTATTTTTCTAACCATGAAACAATACATTCATCCGACTCTATTTGATATGTTTATTAAAGTTTTAGAGCTTTTATTTAACACATAGACAGAAATCGAGGTATAGCTATATGAATAAGAAAAAAAGATTATATGACAGAAGGACAAAAATTTGATGAAAAACTTACCTGGAATTGAAAAAAGAGAGGACTAAATAAACTTGATATCACAAACTATGATGAACTATCTGTGAGAAGAAAATATGAAGATGAAAAATTATTTAAAGGTATTTTGAAAATTTTCAGACAAAAGATATTTTGAAATTGTGTGTTTAATATTCAATCACGTGGAAGGAATTTAATGGACAAGTAAAATAATATATTTTATACATAAAAAATAAATTAAATATCAAGCAAAATGACAATTATATCCTTGTATGTATATTTTTACCTAATAACAAATGGAAAAAATTAAATTCAAAAGCAAGAATGACAAATATGTAATTTTACATTAACAAATGGACAAATTTCAACTCAATAAAGAAGAGGAAACTGAAAAGTATTTCTAAAGCTGATGAAATTGAAAAAAATTTAAAGCATAAAAATTAAAAATTTAGAACTTTAATGATACACTTTGTGCCTCGCAAATCTGGAGGAATTTAAATCTCTCCGGCTGGTTTACACCAATTTGGATCGACACCTATCAACGAAATCGCAGATGGGTTTAGACCATTTTTTACAAAAGAAAGAAAACAAATTAGGTTTTCAACAAAAAAAACATAAAGTGATACTTTACACTGTACAAATTTGGATTTGAAATAGCTCTTGGTGTTCGTATAATTCATTTTACAGTAAGAAAGTTACTATGTATAGTCAATTTTCATTTTTTTAATAATGTTATTTATTCGATTACTCCATAAATTTTGGACATACCTGAAATTATGAATTGCGAATCGATTAACTATTGTTGAAAAAGGAGATATGAAAGAAATTATGCTCATCTAAGTATACCCTTTGGTAAAAAGGCGAGCCTTAAGCCGACAACCTGACTGTCTGGACCAATTTTGACTGCATAAACCCAACGACAACCAACAGTAGATTTACCTGCAATAAGAGAGACAAGCTCCCGAGTACCACTCTTATGCAAAGTCGACATCTCATCAACCATAGCCTGCCTCCATCCAGAATGAGAAACTGCTTCACTTGTAGTCTTAGGAATGAAAATAGAGGGCAAAGATGATACAAAGGCATAATGTGGTAATGATAGATGATGATAAATCACGAAGGTATAATGAGGGTTAGTATTTTGAGTGGATCGTATACCTTTTTTGAAGTACAAGCGGTTGGCTACAAGGAGGTAATTCCGTAGTACGAGCAGATTTTGGCGTATGACATGAATCATCTGGGACTAGCGCTGGACACGGACGATAATGATAAGTTAGGAGTGGTGCCACTACAATTTGAGATGTAGAAGTAACCATAGATTCCTCAAAAGTTGATACAGGTAAAACCTGTGGTATGAGTAAACCATAGATACATCATGGTGATCAGAAGAAGTATAGTAAGGGTGAGACTCAAATAATGTAACATCAGCGGACATAAAGTAACAATGAAGATCATGTGAATAATAATGATACCATTTTTGAACTCGAGAGTAACCAAGAAAGACACATTTAAGGGCACGAGGAGCTAATTTATCTTTCTGTGGTGCTAAGTTATAAACAAAGCATGTGCTCCCAAATACGCGAGGGGGTATTGGATAGAGATGTGACTCATGAAACAATATGAAATGTGGAACCTCATTCTGAATAGAAGATGAAGGCATTCTATTTATTAAATAACAATACGTAAAAACTGTTCTCCCCAAAAACACAGCGGAACACGGGATTCAAGGATAAGAGTACGAGCAGTCTCAATAAGATGCCTATTTTTCCTTTCTGCTACACCATTCTGTTGAGGGGTTTATGGACAAGAAGTCTGGTGAATAATACCTTTGTTAGTCATAAACTTCTAAAATTGGGAGGATAAGTATTCTAAGACATTATCACTATGAAAAGTACGAATAGAAACACCAAATTGATTTTGTATTTTAGCAAAGAAACTTTTGAATATAGAAAATAACTCAGAACGATCTTTCATTAAAAAAAACATAGTACATCTTGAATACTCACCAATGAAACTAAAAAAATAATGAAATCCTAAGTTGAAATTGACTCTACTGGGACTCCAAATATCAGAATGAATTAATGAAAAAATAGACCCTGAACGACCCTCAGTACTACATGAAAATGTAGAACGAGTGTGTTGCCTAAGTTGACATGGCTCACAATCTTATTTGGATAAACTAGACAAACTAGGCACCGTCTTTTGCAGTTTGGATAGACTTGGATGTCCCAAATGTTTGTGAATTAGATATGGAGAATCTGCAATGAAGCATGCTTTCAAGGAATATGAAGAGGCAAGGTAGTAAAGGCCTTATGTCATGTCCTGTTCCAATCGTTTGTCCCGTTATGCGGTCTTGCATGAGTAACAAATCGTCAAAAAGGTTATGCTACAATGTAGAGCCTTCGTCAAACGACTAACTGCTAGATTAAAAGGAGAACCAGAGACATAAAGAACAGAGTCGAGGGTGACAGAAGATAGAGGTTTGGATTTTCCAACCCCTTTTGGTTTTGTTTGGATCCCATTGGCTAAAGTAATAGCTTGAAGAGACTATGAATAAACCATATCGTTCAAAAATGATTTATTACCAGAGATATGATCAGATGCACCTGAGTCCATAAACCATGATCCACGAGTACTAGACTATAACACACAAGCAAATGAATTACCCGCAATAGAAACATCAGGTTGTGCAACCGAAACTACTTGTGGAGACGATTGTTGGTTGCGCAACCGAAACTACTTGTGGAGACGATTGTTTATTTGTACTATACAACCTAAATAACGTCTGGAATTGGAGAAATAAGGGCATCAACTTAGAATCAATACAGCACCAAAAAAGACTACATAATTGGGCATCCACTCTCTCCCATTGTGCTTTGGCTTTTGCAACATTGTCACTAGACTTTGTCTTTTCATCTACAATACAAGCATTGTTTGTTAAGTGATGTTGAACACCTTGATCCTTGCACCACATCTTAACTGAAGAAGCCCAAGCTAAATAGTTTGAACTCCCATGCTTGAACTTTTAATCCTTATATTTTTGGAGCCAAAAACATCACAACCGAAATACATTTTTTTAAATTTGGCTTGAAGAGAGTAAGAAACATGCTGGAAACTGTCGGAATCTACCTACGGTGGCCTACAAATTCTGATTTTGCCATAAACTGCTTGAAAATCACCGAAACCCTAATTTCGGTGATTGGATCTAGAGACAACTGGCTGGGTTCTGGTCAGAAATACTAGGTGATCCTAAAGGAAGAAAATTGCTAAAAAAATGTGACCAGAGCAGCACTCACACGCCGGCGCGTGAATAGATCTCTCCAGAAAATTTCCACATCTGATCGGCACGTGGGGGCGTGTGGGAGGGTTTTTTTCGATAGGTTTGGTTAGTATTTGCTCACATGAGCTTCCCGAGTCTCATGACTGTGTTGTCATTTACACAACACCTTCAAACTGAAAGATGACACAAATTAGTCCCACCGTCGTGACTGAAGTTTGACATCGATGACTTGAAGTTCTCTCCAATGCTCTGATACCATGTTATAAATATATGAGAAAAATATAATTAAATTATATATCTAAATTGTTATAATGAAACCCTATTTATTGACAATACATTGAAATCCTTTTCTAACTAGGATTTTTATTCCAATATATTCTTCTTCGTATTCTAAGTAGGAATATATATACATATTTCTATTCCAACATCGTCCTACTTATTGATCGTGAATGATCAAAATGATTTTTCCTTAGCTTGGTGAATGCTCTTGTTAATCTTTTCATTCTTGTTAACTTTTTCATGTATCATCTATGTTTCTCGGACTCTTAAAAATATCAATGGGTACGTGTCAGATTTTCAAAAGTAGTGTAATTTTAGAGATTCCTACAGCAGTGTGGCATCAAAAGTGAAGTGTCCGAGCAACTAGGATGAGTATATTAATTGTAAAGCTTTTATACCGAATAAAGTTGTTCTATTTTCTCCCACCTAGCATCTGCCAGCAGAAAATACTATTTTCTCTATATGTAAGTGTATAGAACATTGGCGCCAATACTAAGTACAAAGAGACTCTTGGTGACTACGCAAACTTTCACCTTTTTGGTGAGAGTTCAAATTCAGAATTACCAGTAAACAGAGCATCAACCATAATCATAAATTGTAACATGCATATTGATAAATCTAACAACTACATCAAGCAAATTTATCAAAATGAAGAAATTGAAGTAAAAAAAAATCCATAAAGGCAAAAACTCACCTCTCTCTCTACCATCAAATTCCAGCAAGCTTTCACCTTCAAAGCTGCCATTGTTGTCAATTTCCTTCTGATTTCCCTTTACATGAACTTCTTCTTTCTTCTCCTCTTCACCCTCAACAAAACTAGAATTCCCAGATTGTACCTTCATCTCTCTAACACTCAAACTCTGATTCTGTCTTTTCGATTCCTCAAAGGGTGTTTCCGTCTTTACCTTTCAAAACCCACCAAGGGTTTCTCCAGCCTCCTGCTCCTCAGCTGCAGATAAAATCACCGCCGCCTGAGCTAATTTCTGCAAATTAAGAACTAAGAGATAAAAAATTGGAAAAAAAAGATAGAGATACAACATCTAAGAAAGTGTCCTAATTCATATTAGGCACTACGAAGATAAAACAATAATAAAACAGTTAGATCAAAACCTAAAACGAAGTAATAATACCCTAATTAGCTTGTATTTTCCGTCAAAATAGTGAAACTTCTAGTTCAAACACATGGCAAAACTAAAATAGAAAATATATCCTGAGGAACCCAATGAAAAAGCATGAATGAGACCATTCAGATAGAGAAGGCAGACGTAAAACCAAATTTGTCAAAAATAGACAAAGTAAAGGAATTAACCATGACTTTTGATGCACTTTTCACCTGCTTCATCGAGTGAACCAATCTGCTCCAAAGAACACAGACTTCAGTATTTGTAAGACATCTGTTTCAAAGTACCTTCACGTGGCATACAATACAATTATTAAAGCACTTTGGTACAAGCACCTACAACTATATACTTAGAACCTCTCTTTTTTTGGCTTATATATGTTTGGCAATGAGGAGTATGCACACGTGTATTCATCGATCAATAAATAAGCCTATATAAAAGTACAATCCACACATCATGATGTACAATTATAAATATATATATATGTGTGTGTGTGTGTGTGTGTGTGTGTGTATAAGTGGTATTAGAGGAGTTTGATGTCAAGTTTCTCAATATACAAAGAGAGGAACTAAGTTTTTTATATCACAAAGTTGGCCCACCTATAGTGTGTGTGCGCGTGCGTGCGTGTGTGTGTGTGGAGTTTGATGTCAAGTTTCTCAATATACAAAGAGAGGAACTAAGTTTTTTATATCACAAAGTTGTCCCACCTATTTTAGTTCTTTTTATCACAAAACTGGTTCCACCTACTTACAAATGTATTATAAAATGAGCAACTTTCAAATATAGCAAACACAAATTCATATGTGTATGTTATAATTATAGTTTGCATGATTGTGTTCCATAACAAACATGTTATGACTATTTTCGCCATACATATATTCAAAAGAAGCTAGACAATTTCGCTATACATATATATACAAAAGAAACAATTGTACAATTCACTGGTTCCTCTTCAGATGCATAATTTCACTGGCAGACCATTTGTATAAATTATTGGAAGCCACTCGTTTGTATAAATTGTTGACAGCCTCTCAATTCAATTTTATGTATTTGTATATCTGTATAAACTTTGAATTTGTATATAATTGAATCAAGGTAAAATGTTTGTATATCAAATATTTGTCTCTCTCGCTTTATACAAACATATATTATACATTGTGTTTTGTATTATGTGTTTGTATAAAGTGAGAAAGAGAGAAAGACAAAACAGAAAGGGTAGGGGAATATTTGTATTGTATAATTATAAGTGTATAAGACGAAGAAATATGTATTTGCATATATATATATATATATATATATATATATATATATATATATATATATATATACACTTTTCTCTCGCTTTATACAAATAGAAACACAATTTATATATCTCTAATTGCATAAAGCGAGGGAGCGAGCGAGAGTTTGAGGGAGAGAGGCGTCTGACAAATAGTTTGCTACATGGCACAGTTAAATCAAAGTGTTGTTATAGCATTTAATTTAAATTATTAGTTTGTCATTATATACAATTTTCTCTTATAGAATTGTGTCTCCTTTAATTACGACTTATTATATATAGTAATATTTTAATTTTAATTTTAATATTTTTCTTTTTAAATAGAAAAATATTACAAATTTGGTCAACTCTAAAATTTTTACGTATATTGTATTACTGGATGAAGGGAGTAAGATATATTATTTCAAAATGGTCGGTGGCCCCTTAATGTTGGCACGAAGTTTCACTTAGGATTCTCAAGTGGACGATGTTCATTTTAGACACCCCATGTAGGGTCACGATGTGTCAAACACTCGCGAATGACGTATAAAGTAGCTAATTAAATGACGACATTTGTCAAAAACAATTTGTAGATAATGAATTTTTAGTAAACATGTAAAGTAACCAATGCTTGAATGACACGTGGATTTTTGTCCATATAATTTTTTTAAAAAAAATTAAATGTATAAAATTCCCATATGACCCCCCCCCCCCAATTGTCTTCTACAAAACCCCATACCCATTTGAAAAATCACCTGCCCCCCCCCCCCACCCTCTCCAAATACCCCTATTTATTTGCAAAAAAATCTACACATACTCGTTCCCCCACCCCATTGTCTTCTCGAAATACCTCCATCGCTTTTTTGCTAAAACATATGGGCACCTACACACTCTTTCTTTTTTGTTAATGTCTTTTTCATACTTTTTTAAATTCTAATTCGCAGGTTTATAATTCACCTAAAATTAAACTAATTCCTCTTTAAATATTAAATTCTTTCGAGAAAGAATCTCATGAATAATTTAATATTTTATCCTTAAATGAGTCTATTCTTAAATTTCTAAAGTAGTGTCAATCTTTTTTCATCATTGTACTGCAACTATTTTTATCCACCATATTGGATATTTAAGTTTGCAAAAATGATGGCTAGAAATGGGAAAGAAGAAGAAAAATAATTAGGAATCAACTAAATACATTTTTCATGCGCGCTCAATAAGTGTATTACACTCACTAAGCCATGAAAAGAAAAAAGTGTCAAAAGGACACAGCGCGACTCTACATGAGGTGTCTAAAATGAACATTTCCCATTTGAGGTGTCTAAGTGAAACTTCGTGCCAACTTTAAGGGGTCCTTGATGGGTTAGGCCTTTGAAAATTACATTAACAATACAACAAATCATAAAAATTAACAACTTACAATATTGGAAAACATATTAACCCTCAAAATTTCACAACTACCACTAGGGTTGTTCATGGTTATGGTTAAACAACCAAATCAAATCGTAACCGATTTAAAAAATTGATATTTGATTTTATATGATTTTTAAAATTTTAAAACCTATACTATTTTGTTTGGTTTTGGTTTTACTAAAAAACAACTTAAAAAACAACCAAACCAAACCGATTAATTAGAAATGTAAATTTAATAATTATTTATAAATAAATATTAATATTTTGTTAAATTTTAAGTAACTTAAGTCTTTAACTTTATAATTTTCTCAAGCCTAACACTTAAATTTTATCTCAATTACAATCCTAAGTCTAATTCCATTAAAATTTATTACATATCATACCTTTCATAAGATAGTCACACACTTTCTCTTAATTTAATAACTTTGTTTGTGTAATGACAACTCTAGTATTGCTTAACTGAACCAACAATAGCTCTTCTGCGGATTGTTTCATGTACTAGATATTGTTTTTATCAAGATACGTATGTCCTAAAAAATTTATTACTTTCAAATAGAAAAAATCAGAAAAACTGAACCAAATCGAACAAAACCGTCAATAACCAAACCGATAATTATTTTTTTCATTTTGTTTGGTTTGATTTTAGAAATTTTAAAAAAAATGACTAGATTTATTTATATTTTATTTCAACCAATACCCGATCCAAACCGAACCACGTACTCCCCTAACTACCACATAAACTAAAACAAATGATGTAAAGTATATTATTTGAAAATTACATTAAGAATACTATGAATTGCAACTTAAAGTATTTAAAAACATATGAATTAGAGCAACTTGGGGGATCAAATTTCAAAAGTTACAAAGAGAGAAACTTGCTTTAGGTACTTATGGTCAAGTTCAGAAATTTGTAAAGACGAAAACTAATTTAATATTGGCTTAACCCATTGGTGACCCCCTAAAGTTGGCACGATATTTTCACTTAGACACCTTAACTAGACAATGTTCATTTTAGACACCTGATATAGCGTCCCGCTATGGTATTTTCATACTTTTTGCTTACCTGGCATAATGAGTGTGATGCACTCATTGACCAGCGCGTGAAATAGCCTTTATTAATTTTTCATTATTTCTTCTTCTTCATCATCATCATCATCATCATCATCATCATCATCATCATATTTTTAGCCACCATTTTATCCAAGTTAAATTTCATCCATTAAAAATGAAGATTTGACAAAACTAACGAAAAATATTTTTTAAATCTAAAAATAAATCCACTTACAACATTTTTCTTGAAAGAATTTAATATTCGTTTCTTTAAACTAAGCTAAAAAATTTATTTGAGATAGTAATGGCATGCAGATGAGGGGTGGGTACTTCCGATGCAGGGTTTGGGGCTATTTGGAGGTTGGGCTTTGGGGCTTTAGAGAAGTTGCTTTTGTGGGTGGAGGGGGTGGAGTGGGGGTGGGGGTAGGGATGGGTTTGGAGAAGACAACTTGGGTGGGCTCTTTTATTTATTTAATTTTAAAATTATTTGGATAGAAAATATTATGTGTCATTAATTCATTGTTCAATTTTTATTTTTATTTAAAATAATTAATTAACAATTTCTTTTATACAAATGACATATGACATCATTTAATTTGTCACTTTACACATCATTCGTTAGCTTAACCCACTCACCTTATGTATTTTTATTGATATTAAGAAAAATGTTAAAATGAAACAAAAAACTCTACATCGGGTGTCTAAAATAAACACTGTCTAGTTAAAGAGTATAGGTAAAATATCGTGTCAACTTTAGGGGGCCATCAATAGATTAGCGCTTTAAAATTTAACCTTCATATACTATTTTATCTAATTTGATGGTTCTCTAAACAACAAGTATGTACTGCCTTTTCCCTAACAAAATTTTCACTTCTCTTTGCAAGCTTCACTTTCACTAAAAAAAATTTTTAACTTAAAACTCAAACAATCTCAAATTTGAATTAACACTAATAATTTCTAAAAAATGTGATGATTTTTGAAATTTCACATGTACCCCATAAATTAAAATAAAAAATAACATGTATTATTTAAAAGTTACGTTAAAAATATTATAAATTACATATATGATTAGACAAATAAAATACTCTCTAAATTTAAAAAAGGATGACTTGATTTTGACTTGGAACAG